GTCCTTATGGCGAATGAAATTAATAGTCGAAATTTTAACACTGGCCATGTGAATTAAAACAGGGACTCCGTTGGGGAATTATATTAAAATTCACATCTAAGTGATGACCACAATTTAACCCTAAGAACAATCATCCACAATTGATGAACTTACCGATAGGGAAGACACATCGCTTGTAAATAATTCTCTACGGTTATCTCGAAATAATCTTTACAGGTGAACTTATGAATGACATTATCTGTTGGGGAGGAGACCCAATGGGTCACGTGTATGCCACTCACTTCACCTAAAGATCAAGTCGTTTGAATAGAAGTCTTATCTAATAAGCTCGTGAATGTTGCATCCGTTAGGGGAGACTCCCAGGGTCCCGCGAGCGACAAACACGTTACTTAAAGACCAATTGTGGAGGCCAAATGAATTAATTAAAATTCACATTAAACTCACTTAGTCATTTTTACTTGAAGGTTTTATCAGCCTGCAACAAGAAATAACAAATTCCTAGCATGCTTGTAACACGCAAATTACATAAACCTGAGCATGCTCCTATAATTCAAATAAAAGCAATAACAGCTTTCTAAGAATTAAAAGCACCTATTTACATGATTTCTAGCATGCCTGAAAAGCGATTTAAAACAGCTAGACACATAATCAAATAAACATGCTCTAGCAAAAATTAAATCGGCATCCAAAAGCAATAAAAAAATACGAAAATTTTAAACGCATCTATCGCAGCCCCTCAAAAACCAACCACTAACAGCCTATCAAAGCTATTACATGATTTAGCAAGGTCGTGGATGAACACTCGAATCGGCCTCTCGCGTAAATCGGGCCATTCACGCGATATCGGCGCCCACCGGCGGAAAAAGGGCCAAAAAACTTCGTTCAGGCGATTGAATTTGACCTAGCCACGAAAAACAACCGCTTTGCAGTTTCCGAAATGGTATTATGGGCTGAAAACGGACACCCGTAGCAAAAGTTATGGCTAAAACAATTTTCGGCGACGAAATCGCCATCAGTAGACGCTGAACCCTAGCCGCCGCCTCCAGATCGCCCATCTTCATTGTGTTCGTCCTCACAGCAACAAATTACAGTAAAATAGAACACAACAGCCTTATTACAATCTACAAAATCGCCTACACTACCCACGCTTATTATCTGGTGGGAAAAATGATTACAACAATACACAAGGGCTGCGATAGACATCAAATTGAGGCATAATCGAAATAAATTTATCCACACCATAAACATGACTGAAAACGAATACACAAAAACAACTACATGTTTCAGGAAGAGCCGATAATCCACGAAACCGCGGCTCTGATACCAATTGCTGGAACATGCCGATGAGGCGGTCCTTCCCACGGATCAATATCAGATACCAAACATGTACATACATGATTTCGAATAACCCTAGGCATGCTCCTAAAGGACGAAGAGAATTTACCTTTATTGAGGCTTTGACTCGATCTGAGCGATCTTCTAGTCTGTGTCCCGTCCACGTTTGGACGCCGGATGGACGACGATCTACCAAACGGTTGAAAAGAGCGGATTGGTTTGATTCTTCTCTGAACCCCTCACGTTTTCTCTCACATTGTTGTGGTGGCTGAAGACGTGATGTTCTCTTAGGGTTCAAGAACGTGTGCAATCCCTCCTTTTATAGAGGTCCTTGGGACAAACTATGGATCTCTTAGAAGGTGTAGGGATTGGGCTTCCTACGGGCCCAAATTCTTATGTTCAGCCCCGAACACAATTTGTCCCGTAAATATTAATTCATTCCACTAGAGAATTAATATTGCACTCTCGTCCTACCCCGAAATGAATCAGGGGTTCTATTAGGCTCGATATAATTCCCCGTGTTTAAGATATCGCACGTCCATTAATTATTAAAGCTTCTGACTGCTTTAATTAATTAATATCTTTTATTCCTTAAGTAGTACCACTCAACCTTATTATCGTATGGATTAAATCCACCTGCAGGGTTTGATACGATAATCCTTATGAGTTCCTTAATGGGACGTCATCAACCTGGATGTCCAGGACACGGTTCCCTAATGGCAACAAATAGATATCATGCAGACAATGTTGTTACCTAAGATACGGAGCATATTGAACCAATCCTTGGTTCTCACCCATGGTAAATCAAAGTAACAAACAAATATCCCATATATCTAAGTATTACAATTAGAGTTAAGAATTAGTAGAGTCACCGAGACCTTGGTTCTTCATTACAGTCAGAACAAAAGAACACGTCTCAACTGTGATCCTTTCAATGCGACGCAGCGCACTAGTATAAACCTATAGCCAAGATAAGCTATATCCAGTTTATACTACAACTTAAATCAATAGTCATGTCCATAACTATCTCAAATGTGAATACCATTTATATCTTATAAGGAACCGACAATGTAATCTTCTGTGTGACTACTAACACACCACATTGTCTACAATATAAGATAATTGGACATTTAGCATACAAACAATCATAAAGAATGCAACAATGTGAAAACATTTATTTCAATCAAATGGGAAATCGAATAAATACAATCTAAAAGCTCACATAAAAGTTTGCTCTACAGTATACTCCAACACAGTGCACGCTAGCGCACCCAGCGGGCCGCGGGACGTGCCCCAGCAGCACGCCCGCGTGCCCAATAGCCTCAGAGGCGCCCGACAGCGCCATGGAAGCCTGATGAAGATGTGGGTCTCGAGGCCTGCGCCCGACCGCCCGGTTCAGCCCGAGCCGGCGGTCTGGCCAGTCAGCGAACCAGCCGGTTCGACCGGCGGTTCGAGCCTAGATTTTTGGTTCGTGAGTTCCGATCCGAGTTTTATTCCGGACATTAAGTATTTTTCTGAGCCATACCCGTCAGTTTAAGTATTTCAGTTATAAGTCCGAACTTAGTATATTTTTAAGCGAACCCATAACACAGTCTATTTCATCTGGTAAAATGAGCATATAGAATCAAGCATATAGCATATAAATCTGAGCATAATACTTAGCATTATTTTGCTTGTATGTTTATGTAGCCTAAGGAGAGTCGAGCCTCCGACTGCTACTTCAGTTCAACATTTGTATCAGATATTTTCTAAGTTACCATATGGGGGTCATGTACTGGATTCTACATCATTTATAACATTTGTACCATGACTGAAGTATGTTCGAGATATTGTAGTTCTCCCAGGTGAGAGGCCGATCTAAGGGCCTTCCTAATCCACCTGGTATCCGGCTGGGGCTTCGGCCTCAGTGACTGGATGGTATGCACACGAGCGGTCAGTGGACGAGGGTCGAGGGGCAAAGATTAAGAAAATATTAAGAAAAGAAAAGAAAAGAAAAGAAAAAGAAAGATTAAGTTCAACTCTTATATATTGATGTTCATGATATGTTATTATATATGCTGTTTTATTCAGTACTGGTCTTTGCGGAGCATAGTGGTTTGCTCACGCTCCCAATGTGTTTTTCAAGTGACTGAGTCCAGCGTGCCGGGTGAGCATTCGTGGCAAGTTGTGGTCATGAGTCGAGGACATTTTTACCACCATTTTATGTTCCATTATTCATGAACCAGTTTATGCATTAAGTTGTATGATTGTATTTCATATTTTATGCTTCCGCTAAGTTATTAGTGTTGCATGTATAATTCCATTATCGCCGTAGTGGCTCGATCTGTTGCATGTTTTATTTATGTCCGACAGATTAAGTTAAGAAGTTTTTCGTAGCATCCCGCAATTAAGAAAGTATTTTCGAAAATAAACTCGCACGATATTTCGAAAATAAAAGCGAAAAATTAACTCTGATTTTCAAAAGTCAAAGCTAGTCAAGGCGGGGTGTTACAACGGTGATGTTGCGGGAAGGAGCCGAGCAGTAGCGATATTTCTCCTCACAAAATCTGGTGCGTGCGTACTCGTAATGAACTGAACAAAGTTCCCTTTTAGTGTTTAGTGGGCTGAACTAAGAAACAAACCCTTCCCTTAACTTAAGGCTTAATGTAATATATTGTTGGGTTGAATTTAATATAATTGAGTGTATGTGGGCTGAATTAATTAAGTGAGTTAGGCTATGTGGGCTAAACTAATTAAGTGAGTTGGGTAAAATACAAAAAGATCATAAAATATACATAATATAAATAAAGTGCAGATTAACTTACCTGGGCTACAGCCCGGGTGCCCTATGCTGTAAATCCGCCCCTGCTCCTGCACATGTGTTCGCCAGCAACTACGTGCAACGGCTCGTCGCGGGCGCGACGAGCACATGACCCGGACTCACCTACTTGTGCTAAAACGGTTCCAACTCAGTTTTTTTATGAACCATGCATGTCTCGAAAAATGTCTCTTGACGCATGAACCCCCTGGAGATGTACGTGAACATAAATATAGTTCATGTTCATCTTGTGTTCATTATTTTTTCTTCATTTCTTGAGAGTTCTAAACACAAGTTTGTCGAAATCATGTGTATTTAAAGTCTCTCTATACACAAAAAGATAAAAGTCGTGTCTTGGAGAGGTATGTGGAAACCGTGGACATTAATCGGTGACAATTTCGTCTTATAGAGAGCTTGTTTCACGTACCTCGACTTTGATTATGTATGTGAATTTTTGTTCGAGTTTGTTGAAGGATCGTGTTTGTCATTCATGTTCATGGGGTGATCGTAGTTTGATCGAGCCGTTTGTTATCATACTCCATTAGTGTTGTTCTTTGTCATTTTATGAATGACAAGTATGTGTACACATATCCAACAAACAAATACCACATTGCCATAGAGTTGTTGGGTAGGAACCTACACGAGTGAGTTTTGGAGCAAAAAGCAGTTTCTTCTTGCACTACAGTTTCATTGTCAGTTCCCATGTTAGTTCATCCTTATCCGAGTTGGCATGGATTGAATAATCATGCTACTCTTAAGAGAAGGATTGATTGGAAGTGTGTTTGAGATGGCACCGAGGGTTTAGTTGAGAATGGATTGAACCTACAGAATTACAGGTCTACATAAGTGAAAAACTGTTCTCATGTAGGTTTTCTCTTAATTAGCATATATATAAAAAGTTCTCTTTTCCATTGTTTCCCGTCTATTTCTGTCGCCCTAACAGAATAAAAAGTGCAGACGTTCTTTTTCGGTTTGACCATCCCCATGGAACTCGGTGAGAAATGTGTTCAAACCAAAATTGGGAACGAGTTGCATGCAAAAATCACATTAAGATATATGGGAAACAAATGTTATACAGCAAATGCGCAGAATAGAAAACCATTCAACATCGTAGCATTCCTTATTGCCGACAGACCAAAAAATCTAGTCTGTGATTACAGGCACCCTTTTTCTTCTCGTGTCCCCAACTTGGACCCCATATGCCTTCATCTTCTAGGAGTAGCACTGAACTTTCTCATCCCACACGGATTACAATTTCAATTTTATTTTAACTAATACAAGAAATGGCTAAAAAACAACTGGCCATAACCAGACATACCGACTCCACTCAAAAAACAAGGAAAAACGACCCATTGAGGGGTAAAACCAAGAAAAATTGCAGGCATGAAGCAAAAGAGGTAGAGTCTAGTAACGGAGCCAGTAAGTACGGCGCCTGAACCAGTTGTAGTCGGGCAAGCCCTGGATTGGACCCATGGCACTAATGGCAATATCCTGAAACATCGCATGAAATAGTAGTGAGCATAAATTGGACACAATGTAGGATCAGTTAATTAATATTTTACATCTCCCTAGATCAGAGAAAAGGACAATCTTACCCTATCAAATATAAACCGGTTAGCAACACGTTTCACGGTGCTGGCATCTACAGCATCTATCCTGGCAAACAGTTCAGCATATGGCATCCTTCGACCGTATGTAAGCAGCTGCAATCACATAGTTAGAGTGATGAAAAATATAATACATTAATAAGATAAGACTTCCAACACAGTGCCGCTCAGCCATATGAGTAAATTACAATCAGTAGTCTATTATTCTATAGCAAGCACTTTCTCAGGAAGGTTGTGTACATTAACAATGAAATGTCATAGTCGCAACATAAAACAACTATTTGGTGAGTTTTTGTTTTAGGAAAAAAAAAAATGACACTACAAAGTACAAGAACACATTTTCTGTTCAGAAAACATTTACAGGATAACCCACCAATCCAAATTTGACTGATTAGACCTACAAGAGTTCTGCTTCAATAGTGCACACGACCAAACAATGGAATTTGGATACAGGGGCACTATCCAGCCAGTTGAGATATAGCAAAAGAAATAAAACTAAGTGGAACTCATATATATTATACTTATATTTATATGAGTATATAAAAATAAATTCTTGTTTGTTACTTAACCTGCTCGATTTCACCCTTGTGCCTAAGATCAAACTTTACTGGGGCTAACTAGAAATATAAAGACAGGATTCCCTATAATCAGGCTTTTGATGGTGAAGACCCAAGATTCATATGCCCGCAATTAAGAACAAAGGAAACTCTGCACATAGAGTGAACCCTATAAGCTTCTAGGAAGAAACGTTGTGCAGGCAACTATGACCTTAAGGAGCTCGCAGCTTAACTTTTCAGATTAATGTATAATTTATTCCACCTGAGCACATAGGAAGTTGGCCATAGCTTTCTCTTCTAATCATTCATCCCAAATTATTGCAGGCAGGAGCGGATCACATCACACGTATGCACACTACAGAACAGTTTTTTCTTATTTTATTGTTCAGATATTCCATAATCTCTGACCACAAGTTAAACTACAGACACAAATGTTTGGGGCTATAAGCAATCTCTGACCACAAGGTAAACTACAGAGACAAAAATGTATAGTGCTAGATAAGCAGTCACTTGAAGTTATGACTACTATGTTACAAAAGTGACACGTCAAACACCATCGATAATGTAAAGACAAAAGAAGGCAGTAAAAACTTATGCAATGTTAATATAAGCAACCATGTGCTTGGGGAAAATTGCACGACATAACCCAACCAAAACATAAAAGGAACATTATAACTCACTTGATTAGCAACATTTTCATCTTCACACAGCCCATCCTCACACCAAGGGAGATAAAATGGTATAAACCACTAGGCTTAGGGGAGGACTAAAACTTAAAACTGGTGCATAGTGTGTCGTGTGCTATCATTGATGGTGCATACTCTATTTTGTAATACTAACTGATCATTTGACATGTCAACCTACCTGGCGCCCAATATCTTCAGCAACAGGACTGGTTCCATCAAGATGAAGCAGCAAACAAGACTTCAACTGCAGGTCACAATATCAATGAGTCAAGCTTGCATTGGAATTGATTAAAACAAATCACAAGGAATAAGGTTGTAATTGACCCATATAGGCCTTCCATGGAACCATATCTACTTGGTCACCTCGTATATGTATACCAACATGACACCAAGACCTTAATATATTACCTGGTTACGAGCACGAATGACATCAGCCTCCGATACACGATAACATAGTCTGGTTAACTCATACATAATGGCATAGGCCAAGTCATCCAAGCACTCGGGCTACAAAATATAAGGGACAAGTTAACAACAGCAACATGCCAAAACAATAATGCTTAACTGCTAAACTAAGTGCCCCAATCCCACCCAAAAAGGGGGCATTGGACAGAAGCCAGTTCAGTATAGCATAAACAAAATAAACATGGCAATCAAGGTTAAAATATCAACGAATAATTTAAATTATTTCCAAGCCCCAACATACGCAAACAACAAAAGACGAGGAATATAAACCAGTTGAATTTTGAAAATTATACTCTACTGCAACATGCATGGAAGGAAGAAAAGAGAAAACAAGATTTATAGGTAATCCTTAAAGTAGCTAATTGGTTTTTTAGCTTCCACACTCATCTGCAGGCAGAAAACCTTAACCGCGAAATCAAAAAGGGGGAAAATTCGAATACAAAAACAGACAGATGCAAACTGTTGGTTTCCATCTTATTCCTATAGACACAGGAATACATATTTTGATGTTAAAACTTCAGGAATTAATTCAAGGTTATTTCCCTCTTATGTACCCAAAGTAGGGGCCTACCTTAGCAATAGCATAAACACCAAACAAGCCAGTATCATAGTAGTTGGTGTTGAAAGCCATAAAGCTCTCGGCTATTTCATTGATTGCAATCTTCTGTGCAAGCTCTGGCCTGCATCAAAGATTAACAAATACAAAGGTTGATGCATCCAACATTAAAAAGATCAAAAGCAACATCTACTGAAATCAGATAAACCAGAAATATCTAACGAGAGTGGCTAATAATTCACCCCATATGCTTGCCACCAGAAACATTTTTATTCCAAGAACCCAGCATCGACTGCATAACCATCAAAGCAATGGAATCTGGATCTGTCCAAGAAGATCCCTCAAAAGCAATAGCAAATTGGGCAAGGGGAACATCATCATCAAGCATCCGAACCTAGAGTTAACAGTATACATCAGCAAGACTTGTACACAAGGATATTATCACATTAAAACAAGATAAGCATACCTCTGAACCAGTAAAGATAGCAGGTTCTCTGGCTATTAGGTCAGAAGCTGTTGTTGGATCACATGACAGTTTTGTAAATAATTTCTTCACCTCCTCGACAATATCTTCATGCTTAACAGCACCTGCAGCAACAACCACCTAAAATAGAAGCCAAAATGAAGAATATGTCAGATGGACAAGCAAGGATAGGAAAAAACAAGAACTTATTCCGTGAAAAGAAGCCTAATACTCTGTACCATTCTAGGGGCAGTATAATGGGTTGCTATGTACTTCTGTAAGTCCTTTTTGCCAATTGACTTGATGTTTTCAGCTGGTCCCAGGATGGTTCTGCCAAGAGGCGTATGCTGGAAGGCAGTGGCATGCAAGTGATCGAAAATAACTTCTCCTTCCTGTCCTTCAACCTACATAAGTTTATAAACAAAAGATGTTATAGGCATGGTAAATACAAGATATCACAGAAAAAAGGAAAAGAAAATGTGAAGTAAATAAGTGCGAGTTCCTTAAGTATTAGAAAAAATCTATCCAGTAGAACATAAGATAGAATATAGTACTGTTCTGTGAACTGGATAACTTGGAGCCAATGCATTGGCAGAGAAGGTGTGACACTAGGAATGTTAAAGTACACAACTTTATATCAAATTAATCTATGCATAAATATATAGTATGCCTCCAGCATGTCAGTTAAAATTTTAAAATTTACAATATGATAGAATACCTTGATAATTAAATAATAGTCCTGAAAGAGTTTGAATATAAAATTGAGTGCACATACCTTGATCATTAAATAAAAGTCCTGAATGAGTTTGAATGTAAAATTGATGCACTCATAAAATACAAAACCAAACCATTGAAAGAGGGGAAATTTGCCTAACAGTTATAAGTTTAAATGAATCCTATTATGACTTTAATTATACGCAGAACAATCCTGCAAATCAGAACATATCAGAAATAAAAAAAAAATAGACCACAATCAACCAGGACACACTTTCACGACAAAACATTTCTTGGCAAAAGATGAAAAAGACCAATGTGCAACAAGCTTTTACCCATCAAAGAAACAATATAATGATAAACCAGAAGCATCTACATGCAAACATGTCAACAACTACATATAACAATAAACATTCAGACAAAAGCAAGAAACTTTGGCCAAATTAACAATAAACATTCAGACAAAAGCAAGAAACTTTGGCTAAATTAACAATAAACATTCAGACAAAAGCAAGAAACTTTGGCCAAATTAACAATAAACATTCAGACAAGAGCAAGAAACTTTGGCCAAATCAATTCAATACCTCTTCAGCCTCGCGAAGAATAACATCCCTCTCCAGGTTAATCCTGCCCTCTTCAAACGTTGAATTCTGCAGTATATCCGAAAGAATGTCAAGTGCAAGAGGCACATCTTTATCCATCACTTTCGCATAGTAGGTCGTCTGCTCCCGAGAAGTGTAAGCATTCAAATGGCCGCCAATATTCTCAATCTGCTCCTCCAATTCCCTCGCCTTCCTTCTCTCAGTCCCCTTGAATATCATATGCTCCAGAAAATGGGATGTGCCATTAGTATCGGCACTCTCGAATCTCGATCCTGCGTCAACGAAAACGCCGACGGTGGCCGTGGCAGCGGTGAGATCCGACTCTGTGGCGATTCGGAGGCCGTTCGAGAGAGTGGTGACTCGAGTGAGCGGCGCCGAGAGGATATCTGTGTGAGAGACTACTGCTGGGTGAGGGGAGTTGTAACGGAGGAAGCGAGGATCGGGATGTTCGAGCTTCTGGAGGTTATACTTGACGGATTCAGCTAATCGGTCATATGCCATGGCTGTCGGCGGCGGAGGATGGGGGAGCGCAGCGGCGTCGGGGGCGGTGGCGACGGCGGTGGAGAGCGGCCGTCGCGATATGAAAGCGCTCGCCGATTTTCGGGCGCGGCGTGCGATGTCAAATAGCTGACGGATAGTCATGGTTGCTTCGGCGATGGCGGTAGGGTTAGGTCGGAATAGAGAGGTCAGATGCAGAAAGAATGTATGTAATGAGAAAAGAGTGTAATGAGAAAAGAGAGAAGGGGGAATATATTGTATTATATCACGAACTTGTGGTCCTTGTGACTCGGCCCAAAAGGACATAAAAATGGAAGCGACTCTGTGAAAAACTGAAAATGTTTTGGTCAACACGCAAAGTGGGCTCAAAACCCAATTCAAATATTGGGCACCTTCAGTAATGGGCCGGGCTGAGAATACACATATAAATCTCGCAGAAACCCTAAGAGAAGCATCCCCTGCTCCCGCCGCGCCTGCTGCTTCGCAATCAATCGCTGCACGAGGTTTTGAGATCTCATCAACAATGGCTGCGACTGCGAGGACTGTCAAGGATGTCTCTCCTCACGAATTCGTCAATTCTTATGCCGCTCATCTCAAGCGCTCCGGAAAGGTTATAGATCATCTTTCGGAGTTATTTGAGTTTACCGTTTGATTCCCGATTTTTGGAAATTCTTAGTTTCGTGGTGGCGATAATTTGTTTTCTTGAACTTTTGTTTTCACTTTATTGTGCGGCGTGTTGCCGTGGGTGTTTTAAGCTGAAGCATTTCTTGGGTATACCAATTTGAGTAGTTTATTTTACGGGGTGGTGACTCACACCGTACAATGAACTATTGTTTGAACGTTTTTATATATGTTGTTTCATGGTGTAGTGTACATTAGCTGCGATGTAAATTTCCTTTGTTGTTTTAAAGGTTAGGTTATAGGATAGAACTAGCAAAAGATTCAAAAATGACGGATACACTAGCAAGATTTTTCTCAAAGGACTACCATTTTTTTTAAATGAAAAATCTAATAAACCAAACCTGCTTTCTAGAGTGGTGTTTCACTTTCACAAATTTCTAAATTTATGCATCAGATCAGATTACTGTTTAATATAAGCTTCAATCTGAAATTGTAATGTAGTTTTTGTGGCTCCTTATTTACTGTGTACCATTTTATCCAACAAAACAGGTGGAGCTCCCAGAGTGGACAGACATAGTTAAGACTGGTGTTCTGAAAGAGCTTGCTCCTTATGATCCTGACTGGTACTACATCAGGGCTGGTAGTTATCTGTTCCTTTCTTTTCCTTTTGTAAATGTAATATCTACTTGTGTTTGATCTGTTCCGTGCCATGTTTATTCACAAAAAGACTAAACTTAACATTAGGTACTCTCGTTTTATCTTATATTTCCATGTTCGAAAAGAATGTGTATCATCATCTATTCTATCCAGACTGTGTTTCTTTNTGTAATGATATATATTTTTGAATCGTGCAGCATCCATGGCCCGGAAGATATATTTAAGGGGAGGTCTTGGTGTTGGTGCCTTCCGTAGAATTTACGGTGGGAGTAAAAGAAATGGAAGTCGACCCCCTCATTTTGGGAAAAGCAGTGGATCCGTGGCTAGGCACATTCTGCAACAGCTGCAGAAAATGAACATTGTTGAGTTGGATGCCAGAGGGTGAGATCTCAATTGCCTCATGCATTTACCCTTTGAAAATAACATGTTGTATAATTACTATCTGATGCTTACTTATTTGCACATTTTTATTTCATCAGTGGGCGAAAAATCACATCCAGTGGCCAAAGGGACCTTGATCAAGTTGCAGGACGAATTGCTGTGGTTGCACCCTGAAGTGTAATATGTTTGGCTGCCGCCACCCTGTCTTGTAGCTTGTTGAGGATTTTTCTTGGAGCAAATATTTGAATGAATTTTTATTGAATATGTTATCATGTTTTGATCTAAATGGTTTTCTATATCTTTTGTTTTTTTATTCTTTCTTTTCTGTTTGCTGATGGGTTGGCTATGTGCTTAGAAAATATCACATTTTTTGGCCTGTCAATATTGAAATGAAATTCTTGAATTGGACTTGTACTGGAACTGAGAAATGTTTGTTTAATTGTTTTCCTGTTAAGTTTCTTTGTGTCGTACTTACAGTTGGTGTATCGATTTTGGCTTGGCTTGTTTGATAAACGAGACGTGCTTCAGCCATTTTAAAAAGTTTGTTAATAACTGATCTTTGCTCATGGTTTATATGTAATTTCTTAAACTTGTAGCTTGGCTTGGTGAGGTTTAGGTTTGGCCTTGTTAATATTAGGTCATCTCTAATCGAAAATTTCATTTTTAATTTTATTTTGCAGTAGTTGTTGCATTTAACATTGATTCATTTCTTACTAAAAATTTTATTTTCATACTTAAAAGAATATTTTTAAAATATTTTTTTTTTATATTAACTTTTACAACTTTTTAATATTATTCATATATTTTATAATTTTACAAATTAAATCACACTATTATTTTAAAGGGTAAATAATTTTTTGCATCCTGTACTATACGCGTTTTTGGCATTTGCAACCTAAAGTTTTTTTTTTCATTATTTGCAACCTTTAATACACGTTTTGTCTGTATCGCAACCTAACGGCCATCGGAGTCCATATTTCACCGGAAAAGCGAGCGTGCGACTCGCACGCTCGAAACTTGAGGGTAAGATCGCCTTTTTCTTGATGTTTGCAGGACATATTTGTCTTTCCATCACTGAACAAATTCCCGTTAAAATCACGATAAGTGAACAGAGTAAGACGCACGCGAAAATTCTTGGAAACAGCTTGGAGACGATGGCTCAATATTGCAATTGTCGCATCAATGTTGTTACGAAAACGTCGTGGACTGCTCATAATCCAGGAAGGAGATACATTTGTTGCTCGAAGTCACGGGTAAATTTCTGAATTTGGGCAAATTTCAGAATTTGGGGAAATTTCTAATTTCTAAAATTGTTCTCGTAATGCTTAGTTCCCTTTTCCAATGAATCTTGTAGGAGGGTGGTGATTGGTCATTTTTTATCTGAAATTTACTCTAATTTGTGAATTTGGGCAAAAATAGTGAACCCTAAATTCTGAATTTGGGCAAAATTATTGAACCCTAATTTATTAAATTGATCTCGTAGAATTGAGTTCCCTTTTCCAATGATATTTGTAGGAGGATGGTCATTGTTCCTTTTTTTCTGAAATTACCCTAATTTCTGAATTAGGGCTAAATTAGTGAACCCTAATTTCTGAAACTGGGCAAAATTATTCAACCCTAATTTCTTAAATTGATCTCGTAAATTTAAGTTCCCTTTTCCTCTGAATTTTGTAGGAGGAGGGTGGTTGTACATTTTGGATGTGGATTGAACCACCATTGTGCCCTAGAGCTCGCGAAATCATTCCAGGGCTTTTGAAGCGTGCCAACAAATTTGAAAGCGAAACTCAAATTCTTGAAGCAGACGTGATGAGGTTGGAAAATGATATGAAGATGCTTCAATCAGATTTCAAGGAGGCCGAAGCATGTATTGAAGCTATTAAGGAAGAAATGGCTGAAATTGAATTGTGCTTGAAGAGGAAGAGTGTTCGGGAGCGTTGGATGTGGATTGTAATTATGATATCTTGGTTAATCATGTATTGCATGATGTAGATTTATCAGCTTTTAGCTTTGTGTTGTTAATTCTTTTGGTCCTCTTTTGGTTGATCAAACTATTTTGGTTTTGGTTGTTCACTAAATGTGGCTCAGTCATTGTAAGATTATGTATGTATTGCATGATGTAGATTTTTCAGCTTTTAGCTTTGTGTTGTTCAAACTCTTCTGGTCCTGTTTTGATTGATCAAACCATTTTGGTTGTTCAAGGAATGTGGTTCAGTCATTTGTAGGAATTAGAACTTATGACTATTTTGTTGCTTGTTGTAGTGTGTTAGGGATAGCTGCACAAAAAAAGAAGAGGTTCCGACTGCCAATGCCATATATTATGACACTTTCACATAATCCTTTCCCACTGCCAATGCCATACACACATAAATGGCAGTGAAACAACCCATTCAAATAACCTTGTATCCATTTAACAAAATTTGATAGCCAAACATTATGAATGATTGTGATTGATTACAACACAATTACAAAACAAACCATTAAAAAAACCAACCATAATATCCAAAAGACATAACCATTGTATCTGAGTTCAACAAACACATCAACCACAGCCATTGTCACAAAATATCCATTACTGACCCCTACAAACACATCAACCACAACCACATCCACATGAAATTGTTTTTAGTTTCCAATATCTCTCAGAACTGACCCCTACTGATCCACTATGTCCCCACTAGTTGTAACCCAATATGTTCCCAAGATCTCTAGCTCAGACTGAGATTGCACCACATGCTTCTTCACCACTGGTCCCTTTGTTGTTGTAAAGCTAGCACCTTGAGTCAATGGATTTTTCTTGGTCACCTAATAAATGGATAGTAAGATCATTAAAATATGTTGAAACAGACAGTGAAAATAACACACAATAAAAAAAAATAGAATACATTACCTCAAGTTTTCTCCTCAAGCCCAATGTCTTGCTTTTTTGCCCCAAATCCTTTGTAGGTGTGAGACCTTTGGAGTAGCTTCTTGTTGACCTTGTAGGTGTAGCTACAGATTGAATTTGGCTTCTTGTCACCCTTGTAGGTGAAGTTACAATTGAAGGCCCTGCAGACTGACTCTGTTTTCTCATTTTAGGTGAAGTTGTAACTGAAGGCCCTGCAGACTCACTCTTTTTTCTCATTGTAGGTGAAGATGCAGGTTGTGCTTGGCTTCTTGTGAGTCTTGTAGATGCAGGCTGGCTTTGGCTTCTTGGTGAAGATGCAGGCTGCCTTTGGAATTTTGGTGAAGATGTAGGCTGCCTTTGGCTTCTTGGTGAAGATGCAGGTTGTGCTTGGCTTCTTGGTGAAGATGCAGGTTGTGCTTGGCTTCTTGGTGAAGATGCAGGCTGTGCTTGGCTTCTTGGTGAAGATGCAGGCTGTGCTTGGCTTTTTGTGAGTCTTGTACATGCAGGTTGCGTTTGGCTTTTTATGGATTTTTTTGGTACAGATTCATGAACAAGTTCATGGGAATACCCATGACTTCTGGTGACCCTTGAAGGTATTGTTGCCGCTGATTCCTGTGTCTGAAGAACTTCAGTTTCCTTACCATGTGCTTTCATCTTCTTTCCCTTCATAACAAACAATGTACAATGTAACTATCCATTAAATGAATAAGAAAAAAAAAAAACAGACACTTCAATGAAATAGTAGACACTAATGCACTGAAACTCAACCTGAAATATTTATATATTTATATAAAACATTACCTTGGACACAACAGATTCTTCATTAGGGACAGGTACTTCTCTCTCTGCAGAATCTTCAGCAGGGGCATACACTTCAGTTTCTCTCCCATGTGCTTTCCTCTTCCTCCCCTTCATAGAAAACAACAATGTACATGTGACTATGCAATTTGTGATATATATATATATATATACACACACACATAAACACTAACTGTAATAAGAAATAAACCACAGACATGTGTAACTACTTGTGACATTACCTTGACCACAGAGATGTCCTCATTAGGGGCACTCACTCTTTTTTCTTTCAAAGTTGCTTTCCTTTTTTTACCCTTCATAAAAAAACAATGGTAAATATACCTATCCAAGTCAACACTATTTGTATAAAACACAAAAATAGAAACAAAATATTTACAAATATTTAACAACTACCTCAGTTGTTGCACTCTTGTCAGTTCTTAATGGACAACATCTAATGTTGTGGCTGTCTTTGTTGCAAAGAGAACACTTCATAAGTCTCCCTTTTCTACTCAACTTCACTTGAACTTGTTTTTTGGATTTTCCTATCTGAATCACTTCATGTGGCTGCTTTTTTCTGGCATTGCCTTTTGGCCTTCCAGGCAGTCTCCCAACATATGGTGGGTTCAATGGCATTGCTTCTACACTTGGCCAGCACTCAGGAGGTTGAAGAGTGCCCATCATCTCAGAATAAGCTTTCAAAAACATTTCTTTGTGATACCAGTCAGCAACATAGTCCTCTGGTTGAGTGCCCAACAAGAACATGCCACTTATTGCATGCTCACAGGGGATACCTGTGAGGTCCCACTTCCTACAAGTGCAGGTATGCTCCCCCATATGAACTCTAAATCTACTTGAGCTCCCCTCTACTTCACACTGGTCTTCCCCATTCCAGTGGCAAATATAACCCATTGACTTTTTCTTCAATTCCTCCAACAACTTCATGATTTTTGGGCACAAGTTCCCATGCAGATGTTTTCTCATTTGATCCCTTCTCATGTAGGTCCTCTTCATCAGGATAAGTCTTATTGTTTCCAACATAGAAACAATAGGTTTACTCCTTGCTCTCAGGATTAGTGAGTTGAAAGACTCACTCATGTTATTCAACTGCATATCACACTTGGAGTTGCAACTATAGTGTGACCTTGACCACTGATTTGCTGGTTTCTTAGCCAACCATTCAAAAGCTTCTTTGTCCCTCCCTTGCAGTACTTTCATTGCAGCATGAAAGTCAACAACCCTTGTGGACCGGGCTGCTCTGCTCTCCACAACAAGTTTTTCAGGGCTAATCCCCTAAATGAATTTCTAAAATTCCCATACAAGTGTTGGACACAAAACCTATGCTCAGAATCTGGCAATAGATTTTCAATTGCATCTACCAGCCCTTTTTGCTTGTCTGACATTATTGTCCACAAAAAAGAATTCTCAATCCCCAAATCCCCCTTCAACAGGTCAACAAACCAATGCCATGTTTTTTTAGTTTCTTTTTCAACAACAGCATAGGCAAAAGGATACATACAGTTGTTTCCATCAACACCAACTGCAGTGAGTAGAACACCACCACAAGATGATTTAAGATGACAACCATCTAAGCAAATCACCTTTCTACAACCATTCAACAACCCTCTTTTCAATGAACCCCAACAAATGTAGATTTTTTTAAACAGTGAAACTCCATCAACAAGTTTACTTTTAATCACCACAGTGGTCCCAGGGTTAGTATTTTTAATCTCTTCAGCATAAGACCAAAGCATGGCATATTGTTCACTGTCAGACCCCACACCAATCTTAGACACATATTTTTTAGCTTGGTACATGTGCCATCTTTTGAAAACTACCCCTACTTCCCTCTGCATTCCTGCCATCATTGCCTCTACAGGCCACTTAGGATTATCTAATATCTTGTGCTTGTAATTTTCAGCTATCCATTTTGGTTAGCATGACTTACCTTTTGGTTTCTAGGACACTTATGCCTACCATTGTAAGTCTTAACCTGCACAGTATCTTCATTTTGAAGTTTGGATGCATAAATAACCCAAGGGCATGACTTATTTTTGCATCTTGCTTGCACCTTATAGCTCATATTAATGGTAAAACACACATCCCTACCCTGTGCAATTGCAAAGTTCCTAATTGCCTTTCTAAACATGGCCAAGTCAGGAAATGTCATGCTCAATTCAAATTGAGGATTTTTCATGTCTTTGTTATGATCAAAAGTTGGATGGCCCAATTTTTTTTTCTGCTTACACTGGCTACCTACATATTCGGGGCCATAAGTTTCATCTCTATTTACCCCTCCCCATTCAATCTCAGCATCTACATGACACTCAAACGACCTATCATCTTCATCATATAGATCACAATCACTCTCAACAAGTTCATCAGAAAACTCAGAGTCTGAACCAAAAGATTGTACTTCAAAATCACTATCAGAGTCACTATCAGATTGGACTTCCAAATCATCACCCATATCATCAACATTCGTTTCCCCCCAATTATCAATCATATCATCTAAATCATCCACATCATCCCCCACAAAAGGCAAGGGTTCATCAACAGAAGGCAAATCAACAGAAGGTTGAGTAGATATCCCTGTGCCCTCTATATGTTCAACATATAAACCGACCATTCTATTACTATCAACACAATTAACAACATTTATAGCATCCATGTCATTTTGCAAGACAAACACAGACGGACAATCATTTACACCATTTCTACTACAATGCACACACTTAACATCTTTTATCCCAATTTCAGAAGCCATACAGAATATTTCAATCAACGAGAGTTCATCAGGGTCGCAATAGTCAATGTGCCTTACCCTCATGTGCTCACCAGCGTAACAAGTGTCACCAAGTTCCAGAAATTGCCCACCATAATGAATTGAAATGGTAAACAATTGTGAACTGGGACCTTAAGGGACAAGAATATTATCAATTTTAGATTAGAAAAATGATTATAATACTCACCTAATCCATGGACTGTCGGCAAGTTCAAAAAGTTTGTCTCTACATGAGAAATGAGAAGGCATAATCACAAACATACTACCAATATAAATAGATTGCGTCAAATTCGACAAGAAAAAAAACAAAAAAAAAGTTAGGGTTCGAAAAACAAACCGTAATCGGGGCACAGTCTTCCAGGAGGAAGATTCTCATTGTCGTCGCGTACCTTCCAGCCCATCAAGATCGCGATCAAGTTTGATTCACAATTTCTATGTTTAAATCGAAGGAAAGTTTGAGATTGGGTGTCGCGATTGAAAATCGCAGAGGCAAGAACCTAGGTTTCTGAGTTTTTGATTTGGGGATTTTGTGAACTTTGAAAATTATTTGCTTTACTCTGTGGGATACCGAATAGTCACACACTTCAATTGGCGATCTTACCCTCAAGTTTCGAGCGTGCGAGTCGCACGCTCGCTTTTCCGGTGGAATATGGACTCCGATGGCCGTTAGGTTGCGATACAGACAAAACGTGTATTAAAGGTTGCAAATAATGAAAAAAAAAACTTTAGGTTGCAAATGCCAAAAACGCGTATAGTACAGGATGCAAAAAATTATTTACCCTATTTTAAATTTGATTTGGAATTTATGTAGTAAAATTTATTATTAATTTGTAATTTATATTTTCAGTAGCTTTATTTTATTTTTTAATTGTATGAATAATAAAGTTTTTATTTTCACTAGTTTTAATATTAATATTTAACATGGTCATATTTATTATTAAAAAATAATAGGTATCATTTAAAATTGCAAAAAAATAAAAAATAAAATAAAAAAAAATCATGTGAATAAAATGTTTTGTTATTGAAACAAAATAAGAAATATGAATTATAGAGAACAAAAAATTAGTAGATATTTTTTAATATTAGAATTGATAAAAATGTCATGTGAATAAAATGATTTATTATTGAAACAAAATAAATTTCAAGACACCACTATACCCAATTCAGGTCAAAATAAAAAATATAATTGAAATGTCAAAAATAAAATTACCCAAACTAAAGGGGTAAGAAATGCAACTTTGAACAAGTTTTGCGTTTGGGAACAAACGCATATATGCGTTTCTTGAAAAGACAAATGGTTCTGACCATAGTATCATTATTTTGGAGCTTTTCAAACCTTTGTCCAAAGCTGTGTGCAGGTTCTTCTTTGATTCTAGATGGGTGCACAATGAGGGTTTTAAGGATGAGGTTGACAAAGCCTAGAACACAGAAGTCACAGGGCAACCTCTCTTTGGCCTTCATAAAAGGCTTACCAATGTCAGACAGGCTTTACTTAGTTGGAAGAGGAACAACCAAGTAATTCAGCCACCAAGATTGAGAACCTTAAAACTGCCTTGAGTAACCTGGACAGAAGTGGGGGTAGTAGGGATTGGGAAGCTTGGGCTCACTGTAGATTTAACCTTCACAGAGCTTACAAATATGAGAAAACTTTTTGGAGGCTTAAATCTAGAATCACTTGGTTGCAGGAAGGGGATAGAAACACAAAATTCTTCCAATCGGCTGTGAAGCAAAGAAGAAAGCTGAACTTTATTGAACACTTAGTCAGGCCCAATGGAACTGTTTGTCGGAATCACCAGGAAAACCTTGAAGAAATCACCAGTTTTTTCAAAGATCTCTTTAAAACTGTCAACCCCTTACTTAGCAGCTGCAGCCTAGATGGGATCTCTTGCTCTATCACTGACCATATGAACAGAATTCTAACCAGAGAGGTTGATGATAGAGAAATCCAGACTGCTCTCTTTAGTTTGGGAAAAGACAAAGCTCCTGGTAAGGATGGTTTGACTGTTTCCTTTTTCCAATCTTCTTGGGACTCTGTTAAACAGCATTTCTGTCCAGCCATTAAGAATTTCTTCCACAGTCATAAAAGCCCAGAGATATTAACCACACTGTCATCACCCTTATTCCTAAAATCTAAAATGCCACCAAAGTTTTTGGTTTAGACCAATTAGCCTTTGCACTGTGATTTACAAAGTCATATCCAAAATTTTGGCTACTAAATTATGTTCTGTTTTGCATACATGCATTTCTCCTGCCCAATCTGCTTTCATTCATTATAGACAAATTCTTGATAAGGTTATCATTGCCAATGAATGCATTCACTTCCTCAATAGCAAAAGAAAAGGGAAAGACTGTTACATGGCAGTTAAACTTGATATGTCTAAAGCTTTTGATAGAGTAGAATGGAACTTTCTTGCTAATATCTGTTTGAAAATGGGTTTCTGTGAGAAATTTGTGTCTTGGATTTTGGCTTGTGTATGTTCGGCTTCTTTTTCTGTCAATTTAAATGGGGATGTGGGCGGTCATTGTCAGCCTACTAGAGGACTTAGACAGGGGGATCCTCTATCCCCCTATCTGTTTATCATGATCTTAGAAGCATTTTCTAACCTCATCTCTAGAGCTAAAATGAATAATGAGTTCACTGGCATTAGAGTAAGCAATTTTGCTCCTATTATTACTCATCTCTTTTTTGCCGATGACTCTATCTTATTTTGTAAGGCTACCAGGGATAATGCAAACACCATTTTGAACATTCTTAGTGTCTATGAAGCTTCATCTGGTCAACAGGTGAACCTAGGCAAGTCCTCTGTGTTTTTCTCCAAAAATACCTCAGTTAACACCAAATCAGAAGTGAGTCTTATTCTTAAGGGCATTACCAACGTGTCTTCATCCAAATACTTGGGCCTTCCTCTTGGAATTGGGAAATCAAAAAGGGAAACTTTCAAATTTGTGAGTGATGCTGCGAGGACTAGAATTTCCAATTGGAAAAATGTGTTTCTTAGTGATGCTGTAAAAGATGTTCTCTTGAACTCTGTCATTGGGGCTTTGCCCACATATGCAATGTCTTGCTTTTTACTGCATGTTACCATTTGTGAATACATGCGCAGAGACTCAACCAACTTCTGGTGCGGAAAATAAGCAAATGGAGGCCACAAAATACACTGGGATCTTGGGAGAACTTGACAATGCCAAAACTAAAAGGAGAATTGGGTTTCAAAGACCTCAGAGCATTTAATGAAGCTCTAATCATGAAACAACTCTGGAGAGTCTCAACAAAACCCAACCTCCTGATGAGCAAAGTGATCAAAGACAAATATTTCAACAAGAAGAACTTTTGTGAGGTGCAGGTCATGGGTGGTGATTCCTAGATTTGGAGAAGTTGGCTCAAAGTGAGAGACAAATTTAAACTGGGGTTAAAGTTCCAAGTGGGCAATGGCAGATCTATCAGAATTTGTGAGGATCCTTGGGTGTCCAGTAACCCTACTTTCTTACCATCCTGTCACTTACCTTTTTATTCAAGGAGGGAAGGAATGGGATAGGGAACTGGTACTCCAAACCTTCTATCCACTTAATGCCATACATATCCTTAATACCCCAGTAAGTCAGGCTGGTTTGCAGGACAAGTTCATATGGAGAGAGACTAAGGATGGAAAATGCACAGTTCAATCAGTCTATAAGCTCCTCATCTCAAGAAAGGAAAAGAGAGCTCACAAGGACATTGCCAGCACATCTGGTAACAGAATTCAGAAAATGTGGCAAGTGACCTGGAAACTGCCAATCACTCAAAAGCTCAAACTATTCCTATGGAGATGTTGGATGGGCTACTTAAGCACTACTGGCCAACTTTCCAAGAGAGGGTTGCACTGTGACTAAATATGTCACATTTGTGGAGAGATATGGAAAATTTGGAGCATATTTTCTTTGCTTGCCCCACAGCCCAAGCTTGCTGGAAACTTCTTGGAGTCCACTGGAATAACATCCAAAACACTGATTGTGTCTTTAAAGGGTGGTGAGAGGACCTCTGTAATGCAAAGAATGCTATGATTATGGAAGACAGAATGAGTCTATCAGTGTACCTATTATGGTGGCTTTGGAAAACAAGATGCTCTTGGTTGTTTTGTAAAAAATGAAAGGATGCTAGGACTGTTGTGTTAGGTGAAAAATCTGATCGGCTTGAGTTTCGATCTTCTTATCAAAATAACAGGACTAATTTAGTCAAACCAGAAGGTCAGAGGGGATTCAATGAAGAGAGCTTTTCTTCACAGGTAGGACAACAATCCTTTGCGATCAGTGTCTGGCTCTCTTCAAATGGTAAACTTGGTATGGGTTGTAGATCTTGGCAGGAGGGAGGGATTTTTCAATATTGGACAGATGCTTTCATGTTCAGTGGTGATCTATCAACAGCTACGTTATGGACCATTAGATGGGGACTGTTGAAGATCCTATCACTTGGATGGCCTCATGTTCACTGCATGGTTCCTGATGAAGCTCTGGTTTCATTGCTAACAGTGTATTCAGGGGAAAAGCTCTCAGGATCTATTGTACTTGAGGATATCCAGCACTTAATGTCCAATTTTGATTCCAATTCTTTCTCCTATGAGAAGCAAAAGGTGGATGAAGTTTGTATTTTGGCCAAAAAGGCCTTGCTGGAACTTTAGATTTTCCTGGTTCCTCTAACTAGTCCTCATCTCTGTATTGTAAGAGGTATAGTGTGTTTTAACCATTTGGTTAGCGTATGTACTTCTCTATTGAGTTAATGAATTTCTTTGTTGATTGTTGGAAAAAAAAAAAAAAAAAAAAAAAAGAAGAGAGAATTGGCCAAAAATCCATTTTGCATTCAGTTTTAGAGTTCGGTTGAAGAAGATTTCTCTCAAATTTTGTGTTTTCCAGTACCGTTGGAGATGGTCTTATAAATGAGTGAAACTTGAGTTCTTTTATCAGCTCGTTTAGTTAATAGGTTGATCACAAATAGGAGTAGGAGCTGGCTTGGCTCATTTATAACGCTAGTTGTGCCCCCCCAAGGGTATGTTTGGTTTAACATAGAGAAGATAATGGATTTCAATGGAGAATAAAAGAGGGGAAAGGAGGGGTAAAGAGGTGATATAAAATAATTTACCTCGTTTGGAAATATTATTTAAGAGGGGAGGGGAGTGGAAATAGTGTAACACCCCGCCTTCTATAAACAAGATTTGGTGCAAAACGGATTAAAGTTTTCGCGTTTTGATTTCGAAAGCTCCGACTTAATTTTCGAAAACACTATAACTTGATGCGGGAGTGCTACTACTTTAATCTAACTGGTTATCTAAATCTTTAACTTTATGCATGCCGTCTGATAAAATGGACCCCTTGGGATCAATGAAGGATGTTGACTTAAATACTTGAAACTTTAACTTATGCATGTCGTCTAATGCTAGAAAATGGATCCCCTCGTGGGATCAGGGCGGAATTGTACATGCATGCATAATGTCTGAAATGTCTCGCATGCGGAAGCTAGAAAATAAACTACATCAGTCCGAACAGTCTGAATAAACTTATACATATCATAAAGACATAAACAAATGTCCACGCGCTTGGACCACCACACCACGAAGCTGCTCACGCTCCACGCACGACCCCGTTAATTGAAATAGAAAAAGTCTGTGGGAGTGTGAGCAAAGATCTGCATGCTCGTGGCAACTAGAACTAAAATAATCTCAACTGTAAACATAACTTAAAAGCAGCATACAATAAATAAGCTGCGTTGTACTGTAAACTTCTCTTTAACTTTAACTTTGGTCAAAAGACCCTTCGGCCCTCGGTCGATCATGTGCACACCTCGATTGGAATATTAAGGCCCTCGGCCTCCATCGGGACTCAAGTGGAATATTAAGGCCCTCGGCCTCCAATCCTGGGCGATATAATTGGACCACAAGCGGGATAACTCAACCATTCGGGTAGATAACTTATTCACATACCTCATACAGGATAACTGAATACGCATATTGTAATGCTTGTACTCACTCCCACAAAAAACCCAGGGTGGGAAGACCTTCCACTCAATCCGGGTCATCGTAAACTGGACCAAGAACGAGAGATACTCAACCGTTCTAGTCATAACTTACTCATATACAATCCTCTGAAGTCGTCAATGAATACACATCACATATATATAAAGCAATCAAGAAATAAACATATAATGAAATAACTGATCTGGAACTTCGTACACTACTGAATGAGCCAGAGTGGGAAAACCTTACACTCAATCTGGGTCATAATAACTCGACCAAGAACGGGAGATACTCAACCGTTCGGGTCATAAACCTTACTCACATACCTCATACAGGAAACTGAATGTTCGCTATGTAACGCCCTGTACGGGCTCCCACCTGATAAGCTGGAGAATACTGTGTAAGTGCTGGAATAACTGGTGTAGCTGTCGGAGGCTCGACTCTCCTTAAGCTACCAAATATACAGGCAAATAATCTAAGTAATTTTCTCGACAGAACTCATGATGTTAAATCATAACACTTAAATCTATCAGATAAGCAGACAGAGCAGATAAGAAAGATAAAACTGACAATTAATTACACTCATGCCAAGAAGAACAAATAAATCAAATAATCACTTTAACTAAACTAGTTATCTCGGTTATTTTAGACTGATATCAAGCTTCCAGATAAAATCTGACAGAAGCTCGAAAATTGAAATTATCAGTCTATCTTAATCTGGCTCGAACCGGTCGGTCCAACTCAGTCGAACCGGGTTCACTTGCTGAACCCGCTCGGGTTCGACGGGTGGCCTCGGCTCGGCACGAGCAACGGGAGCACGCGTGCACGCTGGCCGTGCCGCACTGGCCGCTGGCGCACCTTGGCGCCGCTGGTGTCGCTGGTGTCGCTGGTGCTGGCACTGGGAGCTTTCTCCGGCCATTTCACCGGAGACCGGTGACTTATTCCGGTCAACTACAAAACCCTAGACTATATATACTTGAACACTTCAACCAAGCACAAGATTTACACATAAATCACTTAAGTCAAATTTAATCGAGTCTTTAAACTTCATGATTTTTTTAAAAATCATACAAAATTCTAAAAATTTTGAAACTTGGCAGTTAAATAGTTAACTTATCAAGTATATGCTGTACAAAGTTCAATTCATTTGAACATCAATAGCTGGTCAACTTGAATCTCAAACTAAACATATAAACATGTAATATACACGTATATGTTCAAAGAATTTTATAAAATCCTACACTTATCATCTGAAGCTTAAACTTGGTGATCTTGATAACAATGCATGCAAGAAATGCCATTAAACCCGCAAGTATTGAGGGAGTTCTCTCGCAATGAACTTAAACCTGACATGCATGCGGTCTTGAGCTTATAAATGACTCATTTCTCATCCTAAAATTCTGAAATTTGGCATGCATTCTCTCGACATATATGTAAACATGTCATAAAAATTTCAGATTATCATGCATATATCTTGACTTATTCGAGTTCAAAGTTTCTGCTGAAATCGGGCATATAAAATTCAACTTGCATGCTTAACTTCAAAAATCTAGAACTCGAGTTATACTATGCCAAATGACATGATTCTTATTCCTATGTACTCTTTATTTACATAAGAAATAGCTATATAAAGCACATTGTCCCATGTTTTGTATAGCATAGTAAAAAATGCAAGCAAACAACACATATATGTCATGCAGGTGAGTTGGGAAAACTTAAACATCTTGCATGCTTATAATCACTTAAAAGCTGAACACATATAGCATATACATCATTAAACTCCTCATATCATCTATATCATGATTCTAAAATTATTTGATCATACCAACTTCTAAGACTTCAAGAAAAACGCAAGGGAACTCGGGTATGCTCGGTTGTAGCCTTCCTCTTCTTGCTCTCGACTTTATGCTTAATCTCTTCGAATTTCCTTAAACTTAGTGCCTCAAAACACTACTATGTGGAGTGGAGGATGAGGTAAGAGTGATATTATGCTGAGGGTATGAAGGTTTCATGCATAGAACTCGAAAATAAGCACAAGTATGCATTCGGGATTCTCTTGAATTCACTCTCGACATTTAATGTTTGTGGGAGTGTTTGAGGGAACTTTTCTTGAATATCACTAAGTATCAAATGAGGAGTGAAGTGTTCTGAGAAGACGCTTAAATGGAGTCTAATGGCATGATAAATTAGGCTTAAGAGGAGGACAAGGTGGGGAGACAATCTCTTGCACACTAACTTCTATGCATCATGGACTTGGTGTTGATTGTAAGATAGTGGAGCACCAAGTGCTGCCATGCACGAGCTAATGGGGCTGTCATTGCTCTGGTCAATGCATTAGGATAGTGGGGAACATGTACTTACACCACACAATAAAGAATTCAACACCCATGCTCCACTTAAGACTAGGATAATAGCTAATGAAGGTTGACCTTGGATAAACTCTCCTAAGCTTGAACTTAAGCTTAAAAATACACAATATAGCTCTAATACATGTGCATGGATCATGAGGCTAAGAAAAGAAAATGAAATAGGCTAGGTGGTGCTCATGGTGCGGTCTTGGCTGGAGTGGACACAAGTTCGCGGCGTGGCACGAGGCGCGCGTGCGCTAGTGTTTGGCTAGGGACGCTTGGTGAGTATTGCTTGGTCTCGATTTCTAACACAATCAAATCCATTCCTATGATAATATGGCCGAGCTTATTGTTCACGAGCGCTAGGGTGCTCGGGACTCGAGGTCACGGACACTCGGCGGCTCGGTGCATTGGCACGGCGCGAGATTTTAATGATTCGACTTGAGAATTTAATTTCGAACATTATAACTGAATAATCTAACATACTTAAAAAAAATATCGAGCACTTAAACACATAAAGTTACTTAAATCATGTAATAGTTCACTTAAATCAAACAATTCAAAAATCTAAAAATTACCGGTTTCACTTTATAGTCAAGCAAGTGAAACTGTTCTTATATATTAACTGATCGGGGCGTTACAAATAGTAAACCTTGTTTAGTATAAAAATGAAGGGGAGGGGAGTGGAAATAGTAAATGACTAATAGATGATTATAGTATAAATTTGATATGGATATTAGAATATATAGTACTAAGGTACGAAGACTAAGATAATGGTGAAGATTTGAGATGATTTAAAGTAAAAATAAAGTAAAAGCAAAGTAAAGTAAGTAACGTAAATGAATACGATGTATATGAATTTTGGAAGAAAAAATAAAGATGTTATTTGATAGTGATAACTCACACACTATATTCCAAATAAGTCTTATTTTGCATGTGACTGTTATACTAGTAGGTAGAACAATTATGGAAGTAACATGCGACTTTTGAAAAAGATTAGATGAAAAAAACATACTAATTAGACTTTTATAGAATAACTCGAATTGTAGGAATATACAAGCTTACATGCGAATAACTAAATGACATAAATTAAATTTACATGACAATAAATTACAGTGAATTTTCAAATACAGTTGATGTTAAATGACGTTTCAACTCTTCATCTTTCAATGATAAATGGTCATTTCCTAACAACGTATTCAACATCATAATATTTATTTTCTTAGTCTTTATTTCTTTGTTTTTGCGTTCCAACTTCATTCTATTATTCGCTATTTTGGTCATTAAATCATATTCGTTGTTTTTTGTAATTATTAGTGCACG